AGTTGATTTCTAGTTTCATAGCATTATGGTTGGAAAAGATGCTGTTATGATTTCAATCTTTTTAAATTTATAGAGGCTTGCATTGTTTCCCAACACATGGTCTATCCTTGAGAATGTTCCACGCGTGCTTGAGAAGAAGGTGTAATCTGCTGTGTTTGGATGGAGTGCTCTCTCTATATATATATCTATTAAGTCCATCTCATCTAGTTTTTTGTTTAAGTCTGCTATTTCTTTATTGACTTTCTGTCTGGATGATCTATCCATTGATGTAAGTGAGATGTTAAGATCCCCTACTATTATTGTGGTGTTGTTAATATCTCCTTTTATGTTTGTTAATAGTTGCTTTATGTACTTTGATGCCCCTATGTTGGGTGCATATATATTTATAAGTGATATGTCTTCTTGGTGGAGTGTCCCTTTTATCAATATATTGCCCCTCTTTGTCTCTCATTACCTGTTTTATCTTGAAGTCTACTTTGTCTGATATAAGTATGGCAACACCTGCTTTCTTTTGTTTGCAGATAGCTTGGAGTATTGTTTTCCATCCTTTCACTCTGAGCCTGTGTTTGTCTTTAGAACTGAGATGTATTTCCTGGAGGCAGCATATTGTTGGATTGTGTTTTTTAATCCATACCACTGTTCTCTGTCTTTTGATTGGAGAATTCAGTCCATTTACATTTAGAGTGATTATTGATATATGAGGGCTGATTGTTGCTATTTTTTCACTCATTTTCTGGTTCTTTTGCATTTCCTTTGTTTCTCGTCCCGTGTGTTTTGGGCTACCAGTTCAGTTTGGTAGTTTTGTATGATGGTTTTCTTAGTTTTCTCTTTATTTATTGTATGTGTCTCTGTTCTGATTATTTGTTTAGTGGTTACCATGAGGTTTGTATAAAAAATTCGTAGATGAGATAGTCCCTTTTCTGAAGGCCTCTTCTTTCCTTAGACCAAGTCGACTCCATCCCTTTCCTTTTCTCTTTCTAAGTTATTATTGTCACTACTTATTCCATCTTGTGTTGGGAGTTTATGTTTAAAGTGGTGAGGTTATATTTATTTTGGTGTTTTCCTTCCCTTAATCTTTGGTGTTATAATTAAGTGTTTGCTAACCTATTCTGATAGAGAGCTGCAATTTTTCTGATTTTGTCTACCTGTTTTTCTCCTTGCTCAAAGCTTTGTATCCTCTTTCTCTTTTATTTCAGGCATTAGGGCCTTCTTGAGCATTTCTTATAGCAGGGGTCTTGTGGCAATGAACTCCCTTAGCTTTTGTTTATCTGGGATAGTTATTATTTCTCCATCATATCTGAAGGATATTTTCGCTGGATAGAGTATTCTTGGTTGAAAGTTTTGTCTTTTAGAATTTTGAACATATCATTCCACTCTCTCCTAGCCTGTAAAGTTTCTGCTGAGAAATTGGCTGAGAGCCTAATAGGAATTAATTTGTACTTTTTTTTTGTTTTTTTTTTTTTGTCTTGCTGCCCTTAATATTTTTTCTTTATCATTGACTTTTGCCAGCTTTATTATTATATGCCTTGGAGAGAGTCTCTTCATGTTGATATATTTAGGAGATCTATTTATTTCATTCACTTGTATTTCCCCCAGGTTTGGGAAGTTCTCAGCTATTATTTCTTTGAACAGGCTCTCTGCTCCTTTCTCCCTTACTTCTCCCTCTGGAATACCTATAATCCTTATGTTGCATTTCCTAATTGAGTTGGATATTTCTTCATTTCTTTTCAGTCTTAGCTCTCTCTTTTCTATCTGGAGCATTTCTGCATTCCTATCCTCAGTATTGCTAATTCTTTCCTCCATATCGTCAGCTCTGTTCTTTAAAGATTCCAGATTTTTCTTTATCTCCTCCATTGTGTTTTTCATTTCCAACATTTCTGATTGGTTTTTCTTTATAGTTTCAGTCTCTTTTGTGAAGAAGTTCCTGATTTCGTTGAATTGTCTATCTGTATTTTCTTACAGTTCCTTGAGCTTTTTATGATAGCTATTTTGAATTCTCTGTAGTTCTGGTTATAAATTTCTGTGCCTTCAGGATTGATTTCTGGGTGCTTGTCATTTTCCTTCTGGTCTGGAGATCTAGTATATTTTTGTATACTGCTTGAGGGCCTGGGCTTATTTTTCCTCATTCTGAAAATATCTGGTTGCAGCTTCCACCTGCCATCACTGGGTAGGGGTCAAGAGCTGTGTATTCTAAGCCTGCCCCAATCCCGGGGCACTCTGGCCGACTGGCTGTGCTGGTGCTCCGGGCGGGAGGAGGGGCTTTTTCTTTCACCTACCTGACCCCGGAGGCTTCTCGCCCTTCCCTCACTATCTGCTCTCCTGAGGTGCTAGCTTGGTGAAGGCACCCCTGCAACAGTTCAGTCCCCTCTGTATGGGAATTTCCCACAGACTGTGAGAGAACTTGGAGAGTGATGGTTTTCCTGTGGAGGGGTGGCCCTCCCCCTTCTCTCTCTGAGACCTGCGCGGTCCCGGAGGGGAGGGGCTCTTTCTTTCGCCTGCCTGATCCAGGGGGCTTCTCATTCTTCACTCACTATCTCTCTCCTGGGGTGCTAGCTTGATGAAGACACCCCTGCAACAGTTCAGTCCCCTCCATGTGGGAATTTCCCACAGGCTGTGAAAGAACTTGGAGAGCGACCATTTTCCCACTGAGGGCCCCCTCCCTCTGAGAGCCACACAGTCCCAGTCCCAGGGTCGCTGTCATTGGGGAAGGAGAGGAGTTCTCCTTACCTCCTTCCACTTCCTCCAGGGATACCAGCACCTCCACCTTCAGATTTAAGGCTGTGTGGGTCTCTCAGATGTCTTTTGTGTTGTGCAAGTGTCCTCTGTTGGTATATGGATGTCCTTTTTGTTGTATCTTAGCAGGGGAGAGTCTAAGGGGGAAATCTCACTCCACCATGATGCTGACATCACTTCTGACACTATATTTTAAAGTTAGCTCTGGTTAAATCATTCACTTGGTAAACATTTATTAAGCATCTACAATGTGATAGGCTCACAGCACTGAAGAAGATGGCAACATGCCACTCCATGATGTCAAGATGTAATAGGAGAAAAGACATTTTCATCAATAACGACTACACAGTTTGGGGATTCATAATCGAGGGCAATTGTGGATATATTGATGGTCTTCCCTGTCACTTTTTCTGAAGTAAAAGGTTTATGAGGTAGTGGAGAATTTAGATTGAGTCATGCCTGGGGAGAGATGCACATTCCACCATTTACTAGCTCTAGACAAATTCTCTTTGGTCTGATTCTTCATGAACAAGATGGAGGTTTCATAGGGTGGTTGGAAGGATTAAATTAAGACAATGAATGTAAAGTGTTTAACACAGTTTCTGGCACAGAATGAATAATGCTAATTATTATACTTGCTTTGTGCTGTCTTCGCAGAGAAGTATCTACCACCTCCAAAGCTCTGTTACCTGTAATTGGAGAGATTCCTTCTGATATCAGTCAACAAGTTATTAATTTCAATGAATAAAAAAAGAAAAACAGAAAAAGATAAAATTTTAGTTTCATACATGTACTCAGCACTGTGAGAGGGGCCTCTGTACTGTTAGAAAATTAGTATAGGGCCGGCCCCGTGGCTTAGCGGTTAAGTGCGCGCACTCTGCTACTGGCAGCCCGGGTTCGGATCCTGGGCGCGCACCAACGCACCGCTTCGCTGGCCATGCTGAGGCCGCGTCCCACATACAGCAACTAGAAGGATGTGCAGCTATGACATAAAACTATCTACTGGGGCTTTGGGGGAGAAAAAGGATGATTGGCAATAGATGTTAGCTCAGAGCTGGTCTTCCTCAGCAAAAAGAGGAGGATTAGCACAGATGTTAGCTCAGGGCTGATCTTCCTCACAAAAAAAAAAAAAGGAAAATTAGTATAAATAGAGTTTCCTAACTCTAGGTGATATTCATCAGACATCTGAAGGTCTGAAATTCATCCTAGGAGGATTAGTAAAGAGGAAGGGCTATGAAAGGTGCTCTAGAAGAAAAAGAAATATTTTAGGTAAAAAGGGAGTATGGCTATAGGAAGTACCTGGAAATACTGGGAAATAATAAATTGAATATACATACATCATGTTAAAAATTTGCCAGATTTGAAAAGGTGGATGACTTCAACACTGACTTCTTGACCCTGGGGCGATCAGGGACTTCTGCCTTATCAGATATAGTCCCTCTCACAAAGTCCCAGAACAAAATTGACTCAATAACTACACCACAGGGAATCTGAAGAGATGTCTAACCTGAATAGGGTTATATTTATTTTTGTATCTAAAAACTCCTCGTTTCATGAATGCACATTTTTTTTTTTTAAAGATTTTATTTATTTATTTTTCCCCCAAAGCCCCAGTACATAGTTGTCTGTCATAGCTGCACATCCTTCTAGTTGCTGTATGTGAGACGCGGCCTCAGCATGGCTGGAGGAGTGGTGCCTCGGTGCGCACCCGGGATCCGAACCCGGGCCGCCGGCAGCGGAGCGCACGCACTTAACCGCCAAGCCACGGGGGCGGTCCCATGAATGCACATTTATAGGGCAAATTAGAACAATTGATCACATAAAGAACTGTCCTCACATAATACATAGTTGTTACTTGAAAATCCGTATGACAGTAATAAATGCAGGTAACTATAGTAGTGTATGTAAAACAACTTAGATGAAAGATGGCATGTCCTGAAAAAGTTTCTGGTGACTGGAAAAATTGGCCCAAGATAAGGACATTGATGTCAAAAGATGCACGTGAAGAGTTCAAATTAAATGTAAAAAAGCAAAAAGTAGTAAAATATTTAGCATATTAAATAAATAAAACTTTAATTACTAAAATGAATGATAAAAATGGGAGAATCCCTCCTCTCACATTAATATATTTTTATAGACTATATTAATCCTAGTCAGAGCCATTGGAGCTATCAATTCCCACTTCACCTCTGCTTCACTGGGCCTCTCATTCCCACTCAGTGCTCGAGGTCTTTGATATATTTGGCTTCTTCCTCCCACTACTTGACCTATGGCTCTGATTCTTCCTCTTCGCTTCCTTCCTCTGAGGGAGCCTCTTCTGGGGCAGCCTCTTCTGGGGCAGCCTCTTCTGAGGCAGCCTCTTCTGGGGCAGCCTCTTCTGGGGCAGCCTTTTCAGGCTCCTGTTCTGGGGGCTTTTCTGCAGCCTCTTCTGGACCCTTTACTGTGGGCTCTTCTGCTGCTGAACGTTTGCAAGCGAGGATGGCACAAATAATTATAATTAGTAATATTATGATTAAAAGTATAATGAGTAATAAGACCATGAGGTCTAAGAAAAATTCTTCACGTTTGGGACGACTGGTAGTGTTTCCACTTTCACTTCCACCTGGCTCTTCTGCACTTGGCAAACCAGCGGGGCCACTGTCTACACTACCCCCATTTCCTGGAGTTTTGCAGTCAGGAGGGGCATAGCCAAAATCACAATGGCAGTGCTTTAAATTGTTGCAAACTCCTTTTCCAGCACACATTTCCGCTGGATTGCAGTCATAGTTGAGCACAGCGTGATCAGTGCAGGAGTGACTCATGCACACTTTATCGGGGGCACAAAGAGTGCCACTGTGCACATCTCCATCATCGGGGATGTCAGTAGTACTATACATGTCCATGCTCCAGCACCAGTCATCTTCATATGGGACCTGGATCACTGTATGTTGGGGTTTGATTGATGGTACCCGTCTAATATTTGTACATATAACTTTCCCACAAAACATATTGTCAGCTTCACACTGAACATATGCTGGGTTATCCAAGGTGGGATGGCCACAATTTCCAAACCGGTCCCCTTTGCTGTTCATTGAAATGTAACAGTCTACTGGAGCGGATCTTGCAGGGTACCCAAAAATATTTAGGCATTGTTCGTCAAGGTCCCTGCACTGACCCTGAGTACAATAGTGATCTTGTGCACATGTTGTACCATCTTGTTTGTAGCTATCTTCAGGGCACGCATCAGAGTTACCATCACAATACTCTGGGAGGTCACATTCTCCCGAAGCAGGACGGCACTTGTGTCCACATGCTTCAAATTGGCATGAAATATTACAACAGGGTCCAGGAGTACACTTTGCATGCTCCTTCAGATTACATGTTTGGTCACAGCATGGGTTATTGTCACAGAAAGAACCACAGTCACACTGCTCATCGCCTTCCACCACACCATTACCACACTCAGCATCCCTACGCATGCGGCCTTTGTGCTGAGGCTTGTTGAATAGGCAGGCGCCTTTGAGTTCAAGGAGGAACTGGTAGAAGTCATCAGAGCTGCAGTTGCTGAAGCCACTTTCTTTAGTGATATTTTCATGCATGAGGCAAAAGCGTGTATCTTTACAAATGCAGGCCGAGTGGTCGTGCTGAATACCCAAGTTGTGCCCCAGCTCATGGACCATGAGCGCTGCAAACAGGAGGACATCTTCATGATGGAAGGATTCAACAGCTGCTGCAAAGCCGCTTGAACAGGCACCGTTGAGAAATGCCTGTCCCATATCCTCTTCAGGACGATGTCCAACAATCATGTGGGCGACATCATGCTTCACACGTTGGAAGAGCTTCTCTTGTCTCCAGCTATTGAAATTCTTGAGTGTAACTTGCAAGTCCACTGGGACCTCTATGAGGTCCCCCTCGGTCCAAATCTCCATTCCAGCCAGCACCACCTCGGTGTTTATTCCCCTAGTGAAGCTGTTGGCCAGAGCAATGATGTCCATCACTCTCTGGACTGTCTCATTGATGTTACTGCCCCACATTTGGAACCGCTGGTTGTTGACCACGACAAACATCTCCACATACTTGGTGTGTGACCACAAGTAGGACAGCGCCTGTGGACTGTGAGGCTTCCTGCTCCCTTGTTGCTGGCTGGTGGACGCCACTTGGCTGTCTTCGGAAGTGACACTACAGGAGATTCCAGCTTCGTGTGCCATGGTGTACAACACGTGTTCAAACCGTTTTGAAGAGTCCATGGGCTCAATGCCATAGGATTTTCCCCCCTTAATCAGGATGCCCCTGAGGCCTGAGCAGGTGTTGACAGAAACAAAAGAACCTGGGATGCCTTCTATGTAGCCTTCGTAGTGACAGTCACGTGAGATGAAGGGCATTTCTTGTCCCAGGCTGCCATCGTGGTAGCTGAAGACTGGAAAGTTATCCACAAAATAGTCTCTCTTCACCTTCAGGTGAATCAGCTGCTTCTGGCCCTGCATAAATAGCATGTAAGATGCCTTTTCCACTGGGTCTTCCCTTCCCTTGACTGTCAGACACTTGGGGATGACTATTTCGTAGGTAGAGTAATATACTGATCCCAGGTCGCAGTATAATCCTGGCAGGAAAATCAGTAACAACACCAGCATGATCCCCAGGCTGAGCCGTGAAGGGCCTGGCACTAGCGCTAGCCTGAAGCCCTTCATCTGGGGAGCCCCAGTCTGAAGCACTCTGCCAGCCTCATACATAACCACTTGGTTTTTCTGTAGAGAAGACAAGGAGGCACAGTCTCTCACAGAGGCTGCCACTGACATGGCCCTAGTGATCGGTTGATGATGCAGGGCCTGTGTCCATCAGCAGCAGCTCTCCCTGACACACAGACCCTCAGTCACACGTATTAGCTCCAGGTCTATGCTGGCTGCATAAAGGGTGGCTACTGCCTACCTCTGAGAGTCACAGCCTTTCGTCTTTCTGATCTCTCTGTTACCCTTCAGATAGTGTCCTTTCTCTGTGACTTCCTTCCACGGCATCAGCTTCAGTCGTGCTTGGCTAAGGTCCTTTTGACATCGTGGAGTGATGTCATCATGAAGAAGGACTGCAAACTCTAAAATGCAAGACTGTGCCTTGAGAGAGGAAACAAAACCTCCATGCCTTCCTCAACTGTGGCACACGGAACACCCCGCCCCCACCCTTCCTGTCGTCCGTTGCTCGTCTAACTCCAAATGTTCCAGACCAGGGGGCTTGGAGGTCTTTGGTGGGCACACTCCCTTGCCCATCTCCCCTCTTCTAAAACTCTCGGTCTGTCACACGTGGACATCATAACTCAGGGTGTTCTTATCCCTCAATGAGGGACTACAGTGATATGCACATCTGGTAGGCCAGTCTATTAGATAAGGCAAGTGGGGTGGCTGCCCCTTGCCCCAAGATAGACCTAAGTGGGCTGGTGACCCATGGGGCAAGGGACAATACTCCTACTTTTTACCATCATCAAAATTCAGTTTCTCAAGTTCTGTTTATAACACTGTCCACAAGTGTGTATGGGAGATGCCAACAGAGCAGCCTCCTCTCATGTGTGATTATCATGGGCACTTTGGTTGGTATCTCCAGGCCCACACTTTCCTCAGGATGGGCCTGACATCCTAGTACCCTAACGTCATGCCTGTTGAAGACTAGGTATCCTTAAAGTCTCCCCTGTGTTAGAATACAACCCCCATGTGTTCAGTGACCACTTCTGTTTGTTCGTCCTTATACCCACAGGTCTAGAAGAATGCTTGTCCAAGAGTAGATGAACAAGAATTATTTATTGAACGAATAAATGACTCCCAGGTACGGGTGCTCTGATGGCTCATCTGTCGTATGTTATTTGTTTGTAGTTGCTTCATGCCCACTCTGAACGGCTAAAAGTGTCTTCAGAAAAACCCACAAAAATTATGCTGACTAATGGCATATTCATGATCTCAAAATGTACCTCTTCCTACATTTCGCTGGTCAGTTCACTCCCCTAATCTCCTCTTGCCTCTTATTTCACTGAGAAAAATAGAAGCCATCAAAAGAGTACTTCCACATGCAGACGCCGAATGAGTTCACCTATTTCTAAATTTTCCTCCTACTATAGCAGATAAATTGTTCGTGCTCCTCCAATCGAAGGCCAGTCCTTTTACTTGTGCGTGGCACCTCCTTCCCTTTCAATTTCTCACGGCCTTCACTTTTCCCGTTGTCTCATCTCTCTTTTACATCTTAAACGTCTGTTTGTCCATTGGATCCGGTCTCATTATACGCTGTAATATCTCACCATTATAAAACCATCCCTCTCGGCGCCATCACTGTCCAGTCACCATCCAATTTCTCCTTTGTTTTATACTGAAACTCTTTGAAAGAGTGTATGTATATTCTGTTTTAATTTGCATCACTACTTTTTTCTTTTCCGATATTTTTTGTTTTGCGTCATAGCACAATCACAAAACTTGCATAAAACATAAATATATTTTTCAGCAAATTATTAAAAAGAGAACAGCTAATCCAGACACAAAAGGACAAATATTTCATGCTTTTGTTTATATGAGTTTCCTCGAACAGTCAAGTTCCTAGAGATGGAAAGTAGAATAGAGGTTACCAGGGACTGGGAAAAAGAGCACTGGGAAGTTATTGTTTAATGGGTACAGAGTTTCAGTTTGGGGTGATGAAAAAGTTCTGGAAATGGATGGTGGTGATGATTGCACAACAATGTGAATGTACTGAATGCCACTGAACTGTACACTTTAAAATGGTTAAGATGGTGAGTTTTCTGTTATGTATATTTTACTGAGAGAGAGAGGAAGAGGGAGAGGGAAAGAGAAACAGCTGTGTGAGTACAACCCTGATCAAGTAATCAACAGTTGTAGCTCCATCGAAGTCACCCATCATGTGCCACTGCCAATCAGAAGTCCTCCTGCTTCAGAGATCATCATGATCCTGTCTTTTCTGCTAACTACTTGCTCACTTTTCTTTATCGTTTTGTTTCCTAAATGTGCATCCCAGAATTACTTAATTTTATATTACTTGTCTTTTAATAACACCTTTATTGAGATATAATTCACATACCATAATATTCATCCTTTCAAGTGTACAAATCAGTGGTTTGTAGTATGTTCAGAAAATTATGCAACCATCACCACAATCAATTTTAGAACATTTTCCTCACCCCAATACAAAACTCCCGTATCCATTGGCAGTCGCTCCCCATTCTCCCCTCCCCCCAAGCCCCTGGCCGCCACTACTCTACTTTCTATCTCAATGGTTTTGTCTGTTCTGCACATTTCGTAGCAATGCAATCCTACATGTCTTGATCTTCTCTGACTGACTTATTTCATCCAGCATAAATGTTTTCAAGGGTTAGCCATGTTGTAGCATGTATCAGTACTTCATTTCCTTTTGGCTAAATAATATTCTTTTTGTAGGGGTATACCATATTTTAATTTTTGGTTCATCAGTTGATGAACATTTTGGCTGTTTCTACTTTTGAGCTGTTATGAAAAATACTGCTGTGGACAGTTGAGTACAAGTTTTTGCATGGACGTATGTTTTCATTTCTCTTGGGTAGATACTTAGGAGTGGAATTGCTTGGTCATATGATAACTCTATGTTTAGTCTTTTGAGGAACTGCCCAACTGTTTTGCAAAGCAGCTACACAATTTTACATTCCTGCCAGCAATGAATGAGGATTCCAATTTCTCCACATCATCACTGACATTTGTTATTTGACTGTATTTTTCATTATAGCCATCCTAGTGGATGCTAAGTGGTATCTCATTGTAGTTTTGATTTGCACTTCCCTAATAACTAATCTTTCATATTCTTATTGGTCATTTATATCTTCTTTGGAGAAATGTCTATTCCCATCCTTTGCCCTCTTAAAATTGGGTGTCTTTTCCTTGTTGAGTTGTAAGAGTTCTTAATATTTTCTGGGTACTGGTCCCTATCAGATACATGATTTGCAAATATTTTCTCCCATTCTGTGGGCAGTCTTTTCACCTTCTTGGTGGTGTCTCTTAGAGTGGAGAAGTATTTCATTATTTTTCTTCTGATTTTTTTTATTGTATTGAAACACACATGACATAAAATTTACCATCTTAACCATTTTTAAGTGTACAATTCAGTGGTATTAAATACATTCATAATGTTGTGCTACCATGACCACTATCCATCTCCAGGACTCTTTTCGTCTTGTGAAACTGCAGCTCTGTACTCATTGAGCTGTAACTCCCCATTGCCTCCTTCCCCCCAGCCTCTAGCAACCACCATTCTACTTTCTGTCTCTATGCTTTTGACTACCCTGAATACCTCGTATAAGTGGGACCGTACAGTATTTGTCCTTTTGTGCCTGGCTTATTTGACGTAGCATAAAGTCCTCAAGATTCATCCATGTTGTAGCATATTGCAGAAGTTCCTCCCTTTTTAAGGCTGAGTAATATTCCACTGCATGTATATAACCACATTTTGTTTATCCATTCGTCCGTCGATGGACACTTAGGTTGCTTCCATGTTTTAGCTATTGTGAATAATGCTGCTGTGAACATGGATGTACAAATATCGCTTCAAGACCCTGCTTTCAATTCTTTGGGGTATATACCTGGAAGTGAAATTGCTGGATCGTATGGTAATTCTATTTTTAATTTTTTGCGGAACTGCCATACAGTTCCACGTATTCCACGGCGGCTGTACCATTTTACTTTCCCACCAACAGTGCACAAGGGTTCTAGTTTTCTCCACATCCTCTCCAACACTTATTTTCTGTTTTCTTGATAGTAGCCATGCAGTGGGTGTGAGGTGGTATCTCATTGTAGATTTGATTTGCATTTCCCTAATGATTAGTGGTGTTGAGCATCTTCTCATGTGTTTATAGGCCATTTGTGTATCTTCTTTGGAGAAATGTCTGTGCGAGTCCTTTGCCCATTTTTTGAATCAGCTTGCTTGTTTTTTTGTTGTTGAGTTTTAGGAGTTCTCTGTGTATTCTGGATATTAATCCCTTATAAGGTATATCATTTGCAAATATTTTCTCCCATTCTGCAGGTTGCCTTCTTACTCTGTTAATAGTGGTTTTTGATGCACAACATTTTTAAATTTTCATGAAGTCCATCCTGTCTGTTTTTTTCTTTTGTTGCCTGTGCCTTCGGTGTCGTATCTGAGAAATATTTTCCAAATCCAGTGCCGTGAAACTTCTGCCTTCTGTTTTCTTCTAAGAGTTTTTGTAGCAAGACAAGTCCTGTGAATGGGGATTTTCCAGGGAACTGGTGGACATGTAAATTAGTAACAGTTCTATGGGGTTAGGGCTTCTGAGGGAGCTCCAAACTGTTCTGCCCGTTCCGCTGGATGCGAGGCTGCCTGTTTTCACGACTACCTGTAGTCGAGATGATGCGGTTATTTAAGGCTAGTGGGGACCTGAGGAGAGGGATATGGGAATAGGGCAATTAAAACTTCACATAGCTCCCTGCTCTTACCAAAATTCCGCCGTTTTATTGTTTTTGTTTTTGTTCTTGAATAAACAAACTTCAGATGGCTATGGTTACTGAACCAGAGTGGGTTCGCTTCCTGGTGAGTTACAAATCAGACTCTCCAGCGGAAATCGTTGTCACACAAAGTAGAATGTATTTGCAGCAAATAGGAGACCATGCCGAATCGTTTCCAAAGTCATGGCTCTCCCTGAAAAAAGGGAAGCAGGTGTCTTTTACTTCAGGTGGGGAATGAATATTTGAAAGGGAAGTTTTGTCAGGGCCGGCCTGGTGGCGTAGTGGTTAAGTTTGCACGCTCCGCTTCAGCGGCCCAGCGTTCGCAGGTTCGGATCCCGGGCACGGACCTACACACCGCTCATCAAGCCATGCTGGGGTGGAGTCCCACAAACAAAATAGAGGAAGATTGGCATAGATGTTAGCTCAGGGCCAATCTTCCTCACCAAAAAAGAAAAAAGAGAAGTTTTGACATCACACGTAGAGGCGGGTATTAGCTGGCGCAGGCGCAGTCTGAAAACATGCTCTCACATACCTCGCATGTTATGCTAATGAGGCCTAGGCTCCTCCTAGGGCACAGATTTTAGTATCAAAATGAGGCAGAGGGCGTTTTCTGGCCATCTCCAGGTCACCTGTGCAGGTGCTGCCATTGCAGTGGGGCTCCATCTGGTTCAGGCCGGTTGGCGCTGGTGTATCTTCCCAACATAGCTCTCTCTGATAAACAACCTTGAGGGAGTGTTAAGCACCTTTAAAACTTCCTTCGAGCTGCTTAGGAAATGCACCAGTGACACTGACCGATTAATTTCCGTACTTCTACAAAAGTAGATTTTGACTATTTTTGCCAGTGCTATAATCACTTCTGTGGAGGAGAGGATTCCCGGGGGATCTTATTTTAACATTTTGGAAGTGCTTCCCGTTTTACCTCTTAACTTCACCTGAATCCATATGAATGCAGTGTTTATATATGGCCTCCTTTGTTCCACATCGCAGTTAAGTGTACTTACTGTTTTCGTGTGCTGCTGTAGTTCATTCCTGTCCATTGCGCTACACTTGTATTTCTCTGTGTGGATCTGTCACAATTTAACATCCATTGTATAATCTGTGAATACAGGGTGCTTTTC